GGGGACAGCGAGGCGGGGGGGGCGGATTTTTTAAAGGGGCCGCGGCCCAAATGGGGGTGCCTGCAGCACCGTGTGTGTGTGTGTCCGTGTGTGTCTGTATACATGTATGTGTGTGTATATATATGTGTGAATATACATGTATGTGTGTATACATATATGTCTGTGGATATATGTCTACACATGTATGAGTGTGTTCATATATGTATATGTGTGTATATGTGTATCTATACATGTATATGTATATATATGTATGAGGATAAATGTGTGTGTGTGTTTATATATGTATATGTGTGTGTATATGTGTGTATATGTGTGTCTATACATGTATGTGTGTCTATATATATACACATGTGAATGTACATGTATGAGTGTGTTCATATATGTGTGTGTATATGTGTGTATATGTGTGTCTATACATGTATGTGTGTCTATATATATACACATGTGAATGTACATGTATGAGTGTGTTCATATATGTGTGTGTATATGTGTGTATATGTGTGTCTATACATGTATGTGTGTCTATATATATACACATGTGAATGTACATGTATGAGTGTGTTCATATATGTGTGTGTGTGTGTCTGTATATATAAATATGTGTATATGTATGAGTATAAATGTATGTGTGTGTGTATATTTGTCTCTATGACTATGTATGTCTGTGTGTGTAGAAGTGCACGTACAGCTTTGTGTGTGGGTGTTTGTAGATCACAGAACCACAGAATGGTTTGGGTTGGAAGGGACATTAAAGCTCACCCAGTTCCAACCCCCCTGCCAGCAGCAGGGACACCTTCCACTAGACCAGGTTGCTCAAAGCCTCATCCAACCTGGCCTGGAACACTTCCAGGGAGGAGCAGCCACAGCTTCTCTGGCCAACCTGGGACACTGTCTCACCACCCTCTGGGTGAAAAATTTCCTCCTAATATCCAACCTAAATCTCCCCTCTCAGTTTAAAACCATTTCCCCTTGTCCCATCACTCTCTGCCCATGTCAAAAGTCACCCTCCTGTTTCTAAGCTCCCTTCAGGCACTGGGAGGCCACAATGGGGTCTCTCCCCAGAGCCTTCTCTTCTCCAGGCTCAACAAGCCCAGCTCCCTCAACCTTTCTTCATCAGAGAGGTGCTCCAGCCCTCTGATCATCTTCATGGCTCTCCTCTATGTGTATGTATGTGTGTGTATGCGTAGGTACATGTGTATGTATGTGTGCAGTGGGGACAGGCAGGGCTGGCCCTTGTCCTTTGAGTACAGGCAGCTCTGCCTTCAGCCCTCCAGTGTCACAGAGCCCATCCCAGGGCAGTGTCCCCTGGGGTCTGTGCCCATGGCATGGAGGTGGCTTCATTTCTCTGAGCTCTCCATTGGGGATGGATGGGGGGTCTGTGTCCACAGAGGTCAGGCAGTAAGCACGCAACCACGCCAGCGGATAACTACTACCTGGCTCGGAGGAGGACCCTGCAGGTGGTGGTCAGCTCCTTGCTCACCGAAGCCGGCTTCGAGAGCGCAGAGAAGGCTGCAGTGGAGACGCTGACGGAGATGTTACAGAGCTGTGAGTATCCAGCTTTGTGAGTGTCCAGTGAAGTCACACTGGTCCCCTGAAGATTCTTATTTCTCTGTTTTTAGATTGGTCTTCACCTTTTATTGTTTTTTTCCCCATTTTTATTATCTTGTGTTAATGATGTTGGCAAATGCAGAAGGCTGGACTGGTGCCTAGAGCACGACCCTGGAGTCACAGACTTCTGTGAGCGTGAGATACTTGTCCAAACTCAGAAGTACTTACTTGTCTTACTCAATGAGTACTCATTAGATACTCATTAAGTGTCCTGATATAAGCTCCACATATTGAGATGCTGACAAAATCAACAGAAATAACAAAGTTCCAGACATTGGTTGGTTAAGGCTGTAGAAGTTCCTGCTTTTGGCAGCTCTGTTCCTGCTCTTCTGCGTGACAGGATCTCAGGTGACATATTTTTCTGAAATCAAGAGTTGATTAGGTTTTATATTTTTTCATGCCTGTGATGCAGATTTGCCTTTTGCATTTGTGGAAAACATCTGACTCTTTGCTCTTTAGCATCTCCATACTTTGCACATGCTTTAATTTTAAATACACAGGCTGTGAGACACTGGATTCTGGGAGCTATTTTTCATTCCTTGCCAAATTTGCTAAAAAATTGAATCTCTGAAGCCAAGGTTGGGTTGATACCTTTGTCTGATCACTGTCTGAATCAAATATGTGGTGGTGTTTTTTTTTTACCCCCCAGATATTTCTGAAATTGGAAGGAGTGCAAAGTCCTACTGTGAACATACAGCCAGAACGCAGCCTACGCTCTCCGATATCGTGGTTACTCTAGTAGAAATGGGTGAGTATTTTGCCTGGTCCCACTCATTCCAGCTGCCTGAATTGTAGAAGATTTGGGTGTGCTGAGCTGGAAGGAAAATCTGTCCCTCATATATCTGATGTTTGTGTGATGCCCACTGTTCTGGGCCCCATGCAGGTGCTCAGATATTGCTGCTGCAGATGCAGTATGAATATATACAGAGTGTGTGATTTTCTTTCTCATGTAATTTGGAGTCCTTGGAAAAATTGTGAAGAAGTGTAAGAGAAGGGATTTTTGACAGGATGAACACTTTGGTGTGAGTTTTATTTCCTCTTTTGTATTTCAGGGTTCAATGTTGAAACTCTTCCTGCATATGCCAAGCGGTCCCAGAGGATGGTCATCACTGCCCGTATGTGGAAAATCCTTTCTGTTCTTATGTGGGAAATGGGAAATTGG